AGAATTTCCTTGAGCAAGACTATGTTGTTTTGCTCAGCAGCAGTGCATGCATAGTGACCTACATCTCCGGCATTGATGTTTGCCCCATTTTCCTTTAGCAGTTTGGTTACTTTATTGTGGCCAGCTGACATTGCCTCCCATAGTGGTACAATTCCTTCCGAGTCTGCACAGTAAAAAAATAAACAAATCAGTTGAACTGCAAATTATTTCTTGAATCATATCCTGCTGTGGGATTAAAAAAAAATGCTTGAGGAGGATCTTAAAGGTTTTGACCAAATAATTCAAACTATTTTAGCTAATCCATCATAATTACAGAATTATTTGAAATACTGAACATGAATTCACAAATCCATAGACTTATAAACAGGACATGTTAACCAAGAAAGGAAAGTCAACTATAACAAGTCTTGTCAAGATAATTTTGTTTGACATTTTAGGGCTAATTGTTTAACTAAATCATAGAAGGTGCCAAACATCTTATCAGAGACATTTTAAATAATTTCAGAACTATTAAATCAAAAAGAGTACTATTTTTTTTAGCAACTATCACAGAAGGATATCTGATACATAAGTCATACAAATAGCAGCTCTAAATAAGAGAATAAGCTGGTCAACAAAAATATATTGGCATGATTTGGTCTTCATATTAAGAAAATAATTGACCAAAAATTTGATGATGATATCAAAGAGTTGCCACTCATTATTGAAACTAAAAGGGCAAATAGAGGAGAAAAAAATGTATCTCTCGCAGCATAGTAAAGCTTCTGCATTTTTACACTCTTTCATCTGCAAATCTAAAGAGAGAAAAACACCCGAGCATTTAACTCATTGATTGGTGCATGATCCCCCTGGCTAGAGAGAAGGGTTCGAATCTCCTTCCCCCAATTAAAAAAAAAAATCTAAAGAGAGAAAAGTTAATGACATTAAAAAGGAGTCATACAAAAAGAAGACAAGTCAACCACTTAAAAGGAAATTAGAATTATTAAGTATACTAGAGTTTCAAAGTAGCAGAGCTTTTCTCTTTTACAAGAAGCAATGTGGGTTAACAAAAGCCAATCAGTATGTGCATATGTTTATTTATTTCAACAGGTAATATGATTTTTTTTCCTTAGCATGTGAAGAAGTCAACATATAATGTCGTTATTCATCCAAATTATACCAAAATATAATATAATTTGACAAATAATTGGTGCGCATGCAATGATTTCACGGAAGGAAGCCACAATGGTTTAAAGCATAAATAAAAAATGTGGTAACATATTTTATAGATAAATCAATATTCTTGATAGCTATTGGGAAATATTTATAAATACTTAAAAGGCAACTTAAAGCTTCAAATTTCCCTATTTGATGATCTAATAATTTAAATCTGAAGAAAGAATTATCCAATCATTTTGAAGTGTTGAACCATGGAATGGGTGAGACTTGGGCATTTAAATATCAGAGATACAATAAATGAAATCAAAGACACCTGAAGGTATAATGAACCAAAAAATGCAGAATCGCCTAAAGGAAAACAAAATCAAGATCAACTGGTTTAAACAATAACCTGGAGAATACCTTTACAGTTAGGATTTGCACCATAATCCAGTAAGAGAATAACGCAGTTCTCACTTCCTTTCATTGCAGCTATATGCTAATTTTATACAAAAAAAAACAGAACGTTAAGGATTAGCACCAATGCCCAAAGAAGCTGGGGTATTAACCAAATTAAAAGCTAAAAAATTTTTCACAAACCAGAGCTGTTCTTCCATTGTTGTCTGACTCATTAGGATCAAGCCCCCTTTTCAATAGCTGATGCAACAACAAGTCATCTCCCCTGAGTGTGGCAAAGCAAAGATTGAGGGGTAGGTCCATTCTCCCACGAGCTAGCATGTTCTCTGTCTCCATTAAAACTCCCTCCATAATTGGGTCATTCATGTCTTTCAAATGCTGCCCCAAAAATGAATTCAAAGAGTTCAGTATAAGCAAACATTTATTCTCACAATTTTGGGTGATTTTTTCTGCATATTTCATCTTAAATGTCTATCTACAAATTTATAATGCAACAATCTATTGATACATTACAGTCTAGGCTGCAATAACTACAAGTTTAAAATGGATTTTGATGGATTCTATTGGTGACAACATTATATCTTCAAGTACAGCATGTATACCTGAAGGAGATTATTCATGATTATGGTGCCATCTCCAACATTGGCCTGAATAATGTTCAGGAATGTAGTACGGTTTAGCCGTAGTAGTTGGCACAATCGTTTTGTACGTACTGTAAAGAGTTGTGGCCTATAACAAAGCACTCCTATCTCACCCAAGAGATCACCTGTTTTTGCCTCTCCAACAACCTGAAACCAGTTAGCATTTAATTCATTAAGCATCCTAGACATGATTTTGGATTGATAAGGTGTGTTTTGAGTGACACAACGTGCCTGTTCAGCTCCATTTTTGAGAACCAATAGATCCTATATGAAAGCAATAGAAAAAATTAGGGACCACTTCGAGAAAAAGTTTAAATTTAATAAGATAACATACACAACAACAATCAACAGCAATTTCATTGTAAAATTTGACGTAGAGCATTTAATTGAAAAACAAGGATTTTGAACAAGAAATAAGTTTTTACCACAGCACCACTGACAAGGACGTAGAAATCTGTAGGTGCTTCATTCTGCAGGATGACATCTTCTTTGGGAGGAAAATATTCAGCTTTCATCTCTGAGACCTTAGACATTTATTCACAAAGAAAAGATATAGTTCCCACGTAGCTACAAAAAGGGGTAAAAGAAAAGAAAAATTTTAATACAAAAGCTTAGCAGGTTTATAGTGGATTACCAGCTGAAAAAGCAAGTCATTCGATACACCACGAAACAAGTACACCTTATCCATAAGAGAGTAGAAAAGATAGTGTGAAATGCTTGAACGGATAGCTTTAGGAAGGGAATCAAGAGTCTCTTGCTGCTGCAGCCCCTCGGAATCTGTCCTGAACTTCAGACATAAATGTGCAAGCATCTGATCCTGTAGGCGAGGCGGCAATTGGTTTCTTTGGGCAAAACTTGAAGCAGCTTGAATGGTATCCCTCTGATTGTCAGAAACACAAGCAAGCAAAGATGATCAAAAATAAATCCTGAAGTGGTGAAAATGGAAAGTAGAATTAAGGAAACTCAAAGTTGAAGCCCCTCCCCTTCACTCCCCCCCCAAACACACACTCACACAAGAAAAAAAATAATAAAAAAGTCAAAGGTAGTTGATTAGCCTGATAAACAATAATAATTAACTCACAAATCTTCTAGTTCGGCTGGTTCCATGGACAACCAAGTTTGTCATGTTTCCAATCAAATATGCTGTCAATCCAAGGTTGAAGAGCATGTAGAAAATGTCAAATATCATTTCCCTAGTATTCACAGGATGCAAATCCCCATAGCCAACAGTAGTCAGTGTAGTGATAGACCAGTAAATTGCTGTCACATATCGAATTGACAAGCTCTGTTCAAGGAAATTGTCTCCCAAAGATGCTCCAATCCATGTTCTTCCAGGATCATGATATCGAGCAGCAATAAGATAATAGAAGCATCCAGCACTATGAACCGCAAAAAGGGTAACCTACAAAAACCATCCAGAGTTCATGAATGCTGCATTGCTAGAAAAAATTTCCAGGTAAATAATCTCATTTCCTTTCCATTGTACTCACACAAATAAGTTTTGCACATCGAACCCAGAAGTAGTTGTAGTTCTTGTCTTTTTCTAACCTGTAAAAAACAAAAATTAGTCATGCCAAATAATAGTTTGCTCAAAACACGTGGGACTACATTGCAAGTGAAGGCAACAAACAAATTTCATTAATTAGTTAAAAAGCTAGCTAATGAAGGACAAAGCCTCTGTACCTGGAAAATAAGGCACTAACTCTGCGCAGACGCCAAAGGCGAAGCATATTAAATAAGCCATATGAACGCAATGGCTTAGGGGAAATCTTCTGAGCAAGTTCGGATGGTATTGTGGATATAATGTCCAAAGCCAACCAGGAACTGCCATACTTCCAAGCAATCTTCTTCGGATCATCAATGAGTAGATATGTAGTTTTATCAAGGTATGCAACAAAGAAGGTGAGAATAATATCCAGGGCAAAGAATCCATTAACAACATTATCAGTAACGGAGAGTGGTGACTCTGGTTTTTTAAGGAATCCAAATTCAAATGGTGATACCCAAGCTGTATAGACGACCAAAATAACCAGAAAAGTTTCCCATACCCTGCATGAATCAATTTAATTATGTAAGTTTCAGTCAACATTTATTGCTTTTGTGGACTTAGAATTCCGTAAAACCTTTCAAATCCATTCAAGTTCCTTCTATCATAGGCATCAACCAATGCAAAAACAACTCAAATTGCAAGTACGGAACACGTGATTGAAACCTGAAAGGAAAATGCTACAACTACCACCCCACCCCCAAAAAGAAAAAGAAATAAAAACCACGGCACTGCACAAGTCAAAAGTCTCAAAAGATTTCATCACATCAAGCCCCTCAATATGATATTAATATCATTCTTTTGGAAAACAAAAACGAAGGAAATTCTTAAACCAGAAATGAAGGAGGAGGTAGGAAAGGTAAAAACTTATGCTACAGACACTACAAATTGATTTCCATAGGAGTCAACCCTCGGATTCTCACGCCTCCAACAAAGAACAGCTTTAGTCTGAGTTAAGACAATTCAACAAACGCACTCTAACAACATTCAAAAAGACAAAACAGAAACACTGACTTTCTGAATACAAATCCATCATATTACAACACATGCAAAGAACAAACAACATTTTTCAACAGAAATGATTGTTTTATTGCTTTTTAATAATAAAGCTATTCACCACAGAATCAACCTGAAGGTCTTAAACAAAAAGTTCATAATAAGATACTATTCTCAAAGAGTTACACTTACAAAAGCAGTGATAGCTAAAAGAAACATACGAACAGAGCAAAATAGTGAAAGTAATACCAGTAACACTTTCAATCATTTAACCAGAACCCCATAAAAGATTCTGATTTCAGACTAGTCCTTTTCCATATACCGCAACAAGTACAACAAAATAATACTACTAATAACAACAAAAAATAAGAACAATAATGATAAAAAGAAAACAGCAACAAAAAGTCAAATGCCAAAAGAAAATAAAATAGAAAAAAATAAATTAAAAAAAGCCGAAAAGGAGCAAACTTTGCAATCCTAAATACCAACGAATGCCATTTTAATGTGAAATCAGCCTCATATGGAATATTGCAAACAGAAAACTAGCTTTGCTTTTCACGCCTAAAAAAAGTGTGAACTGAAGTAAATACTCACAAGTTAACATTAAAACATACAAAAAAGGCCAATTTTCTATTTTGTCTATAGCAAGGCTCACGAGATTCAATGCCGTGATTTCCCCAATTCCCTCGTTGAAAAGAAACGAAATTTATTATACGCATTGGTGACTATGACCCCTTAATAATAGACACTTAAGTCAGCATGAAAAAAAAAAAAGAAGAAGATGGCGATGCAGAAGGACCCAGAGTCCAAAACCAAGACAAAAAGCTGTTTGGTCACCTGTAACGACGATCATAAGGGGAAACAATGAATCTCCTGAGCTTGACTCTACGGTTACTTCTGGCTCCAAGCGACGGGAGAATCCCAGTCGATAGACTGTAATGACTACTATCTCTTGACAGATGCTCTATCTCTTCTTCCCCACATACTGACACCCGAAACATGCCTCTGTTTCTGAGACTATCCATCTTTCAAAGCCTCTCTCTCTCTCTCTCTCGCCCGGGTTCTTCTCCTTCGAAAACGCTCTTCTAGCCTCTCTATATATACGAGCAAAAGCATTGGGGGGGAGGCTTCCTCCTCTTACATGAAAACCTTCTTGTTCGTTCATTTACAGTTAATTGTCGTCTTACTAGCAAGATTTAATGAAACCTTTGGACAATTTTGCCCCTATTTATGGGACCCTTTGTCATTTTCCCTGTTTTGGTCTAAGCCGAATTTCCGTTTCACTGCCCGTTCATAATTGTACATTTTAGACCCTTTAACAATTTTTTAATACTCACATTATTATGGATTTAGGGCTACAATATCTATAATGATAATAATATTATTATCTTAAACGGAAAAAAATAAAAATAAAGCCTCGCAAAGAAATCTATTAACTTAAAATATTATTTTTAATTCTTTCAAGTCAATATTTATATAAATAAAAGAAAATCGAAATAATTAGAAAATGTTGAATTGTTTTTTTCATTAATTTAAATATTTATTTTATTTGTTATAAAATTAAAATTAAAATTAGTAATATTATTAAATAAATCAACAGTTATAAAAAAAATGAGCTTAAACAATTATTACAAACTAGAAAACATTTTTTAAATGTTATAAAACTTAACAACCTATGAGATCTAAATCTGTAGAATTTAGTTAGACTTGTTACAAAAAAAAATTCCGTAAACCAGGGTACAGCAGTGAAGGGCAACGCTAGTACAGCATATCCGTTTTGACCTTGTGGCCCTTACTTGTATATATAAGGAGGAGAAGACCGAAGAGGAACTTGCTTATAATGTGCAAACTCACGGCTCACCCGATGCGCGTGTATAGCACTTCCCATATACTTCTTGGACTCTGTAACTCTCTGGAAACTCACGTGTTTATCACGGGATGTGAGAAAATTCTAAACTAATTCAATCAGAGTTGGTGGATTTGATTTTGCTTGCCTTAATTAGATGATGGGCGATTTAATCTTTCTTGAATCCCAAATTGGGATTTGGGAACATTGTAATCACAATGGAAATTATTTTTTGAATTGGGTAATTAAGTTTAGATTCATTGCTATTTTAAAAATTATTTTTTTATTCAATTTACTTTTTTTTCATTAAATTCGAAAAGCAATCATCCATGAATTACGAAATTTTTTTCTATAAATATCATGATTAAAATCATTACATATAATAATTTTTTATTAAATTTGATATTATTTTTAATGAGATTATTTCATGATACATTTATAAAAAGAAATAAAAAGATTTAATTGCCTTTTTTTATATATGTATGAAAATCAAAATAAACCCATTAAATGCTTTAATGACAAAATAATTTGTTAAGAAATCATCTCATTTAACGTTGTGATTTTGAGTACTTGATTAAATATTGCTTTCCTTTTAAGTATTTTGTTTACCTTACAGTTAAATTTAAGTTATTAATGCTAAAAAGTAAGAGCTTGATTCTAGCTATGATTTCAATTTGACAATTTAAAAAAAAAATCACAAAAATTTTATTGAGATTGGAGGTCAAAGAGGCCACAAATCAACCCTATAAATTTTTGTTTTTCAATGACCAAGCCCTACAAATAAAAAGAAATATTTACTATTCTTTTTTCCAAATGAATTTCAAATTAACATTTTTTATATTTTTTTATCAAGGCTCATAAAGATGAGCTTAGTTTGCATTTTAAAAGTTGCCATTAATGATTCAAAATAACTTAATAACCTTGTGGTCCACAATGAGTAAACTCTACCAATTAAATTTATAATTTTTTTTTATTAAAAGTTTGTAATTGTTAATAATAGGTTCTCAACAACAACCAACATATGTGACTATCACGCAAAGGTGTGGCCTTTAATTAAAATGTTTCCCTAACATTATCTTTAGCTTTTAAAGTATTATTAGAGTTCAAAAACTCTCTTCCTGTACATTTTGAATAAATAATAGTAAGTACGAATTTTTAAATTTGATTAGCACTAATTTGATTAGCACTAATATTTATATGACTTATATTGTCTTATACATAAGGGGCATTGCAACTAAATTTTGGTTTTAATTACACTTTTTAAGTAATATATCTTTTATGTAACAAAATTTTAAAAGAGAGAGCTATTTATACTCTCAATTGTCCTTATAACTACATTTTATTTATAATATTATTTAAAATTCATATAGTACAGTCAAATCAACAAAATTATTATAAATAGTATATAAAAATATCATTAAAATGTTTTTAATTGCATATTTTAAAAATGTTACAGTTCTAAATCAAATTTGTTGCGGTGGGATAAAGTTTTTAAAATATTCCATTAATAGTTTTAGATGCTTACCGCATGCTCAAATGAGTGTAAATACAGAAATTATTAAACCTACATTACAAGAAATACTTAAAATGCATCTTGTGTATAAGATAATAATAATAATAATAATAATAATCCTATTTATAGTTGTAAAATCATTTATAAATTATAAATTATTTATATGGATAAGCAGCAACAAAAAATATATATATTCATACTTTATGCTAAAAAAATAATTAAAACGTGATAAAATCTAGATTCAACATATATAAAGAAAGCGCGTTCATGGATGAAGAAAAATCTTGTAACACTTTAAACTTCATGTTTAATGTGTAAGTTTAGTTCAATCATCTGGTTAAACAAATAGTAATACAGTGATTGAATGGTTTGTTTAATAATTCAATTTATTAAATGTAATAAATATAAATGACATGACAATCGAGCGAATCAAATTAGTTTTAGTTCAAATCTTTTTGAGTTTGAATCATTTCATATCACGAATCTAATCAAAAGATTTTTTTTTTTTTTGGATTGGGTCAATTCATGTCCGAGTTTGATTGTTGAGTTATTATAAATATATGTGTTGGTAATTAATAGAAACAGAAGCTTAAAAAAAATCGTTACTATTAGTGGAAGCTCAAGCTCAATAGTTAGATTATTAAAATGTTGAGTTCAAAAAACAAGACGAGAGGAGGGCCTTTTTGTCATGATCCTCCCAAAAAAATAAAATCAGCAGTGAAAAAGTCTTTTAAATGTGCTCGGCAGCATCATTATATGGCACTAATATTACAAGCGACATGTGTTCCATGACACGAATAAATGTCCACAGCGTCTCTCAAATCGACACTTGGTGGACCACGTAATTCTAATTTTGATAAAGAATTGAAGATTCCTTTTGCGAAATATTTGTTCACATACTGCTTATTCACCATTTTATTAGCTAAACCAATTTCCTATATAGAGAAAAATTAAGGCCTCCCAATTGGGTGCAGATATGTATTATAAGTCCTAAGAATATTTGATATGTGAATCAAAATAAGATATATTATTTAAAAAACTTATGAATCATTCAAAACAATTTAAAATAATTTTTTATTATATTTAATCAAGTTATTATATTTTTATTTTAAAAAATAAATTTTTATAATTAATAATTAATTAATTATCATTAATTAAAATATCACTTGTCATTCAATATTATACACCGATATAATATATTGACATATTATAGTAGATAATAACATGATATATTAATATGCATGATAATATAATTATGTGATATTTTTTCATATTTTATACCAATACCACGTTAGCATCACGTGCTTCTAAAATTATAAGTGATATCTTAATTGTTAGTAGTTAATTAACTATTACTTATAATAAATTATTTAATTTAAAATAAAATATAATAATTTAATTAAAAAGAATAAAAAATAGATATTTATTTAAAAATTTGTGAATAAATAAAAAAATTTAAAGCATTATTTATCAAAATAATCTAAATAAGCAATATTAAATGAATCTTTATACTACTTACACGCAATGCCATCACTTTATTGCTTTGATTTTCAAATGCTTTTCTAAAACGGTTTGGTTTGGTAGGTGTTTTACTTCTGCTTCCTTCTTCGACTTGTTTTGGTTATGATATAACAATTGACTCACCGACCTAATTGAAAGGAGGCCACGTTTGGTACGCGATCTCAGAAAGGTAAAATCACTCTTAATTTTTTGTACAAGGCAAGGCACGCCTTTTCAACTCATGGAAAAGTATTACCCTACCATCAATCAAATCTAATCCAACTAATTTTAACACCTTTAATTACAAGAAAGACCCTCCAGGGTTTCCCCATCCCGTCATCGGTCATCCCACGGGGGAGTGGAATCAATCTTAACAACCATGGACGTTGACTTTTGCGTAGCGTGAACTAACCCCAATGTCCCATGCGTCCAATTTGACCATTCGTCATCTCCAAAGGGCCTCCATTTGGTGAGAGACACTGGCTTTGAACCTGCGTCAGTTTGAAGGCTCCCATCCCGTTCCATTATTTAGAACCAAAAGAAAAAGCCTTAAGTCAATATTATTGAGCCACAAATAGCATTTTTGCCTTCTGAATTCCAAACATCCTCCATTTTAGAATGGACTTTTCACGTCTATACGGTGACTCGTGCAGGATAAAAAAGTTTACCTTGCCATCGTAATGCAAGCTTGTGGAAGGTGTGGAGGTTAATTGCCAAAGGGTTTAGACATCTTTGCTTCAATTAACAATCTAATCTATAATCTATTATATATAAATACATATCTGTTTACGTCAAGCATGCCAAATGACACGTAGCATGCCGAATGACTCTATATAGCTGTCTAAAGTCCAAAGGAAAAACATACTCTTTCTTTCCTGTTTAAAGTGCAAAGTCAAAACATAGACTATTTCTTTCCGAAAAAGAAGATAACGAATTTAACAAAAATAGAAGACTTTCTAAAAAAAAAATAGCATCCTTACTAGTTAATATATATGTAAATTGAATTTATATTCAGCAGATGCTTATTTTAGTATCGGGAATATATCTAGGAAGTAGATGTACATAATTTTTTATATTATGAATATGCAAGGGAAAGAAAGTCAACGTATAATTTAAGAAAATTCATATATTAATACTATTTGAAGAAAAATGGTATGTCCCAACGCAATAAATAAGAGTATGGATTAATTCAGATTATTTAATTTCATGAATACAAAAGAGGATGTGGAGCCATGGAATAATTTCTTGACAATATTTTCTTGGCGAAAATCACCGCCAAA